CGAGATCTTCTTTGAAGAAAGTGAAGGTCGAGATCTTCACCGCATCCAAACATCTCTTGATTCTCAGATCCAGAACCTCCCTCTCCGTCTTGTGGATCTGTGAGCTAGAGAGAGAGACAACAAGAAAGAGAGCGCCGGCAAGAGAGAGCCATAGTGAAGATAGCTAGAGAGTTAGCGCGATATTGAAACCAAGATGGCGACCTCAGTGACCTGGACGGCGAGAGCTGTAACCTGGATGGCTCGATCTATGACCCGGATGGCGAGCTCATAACCAAGATGGTGCAATGGAGATGGTGTTTGATAGAGGGAGAGAGGGTTTTCTGAAAGGGTCGTGAGAGTGAGTGTTTGAGAGAGAGAGAGAGCTGTACGTGAAAAGTTAGAACTTAAATGAAATTTTTGTCCAGCGTGTTTTAAAACACGACGGTATTAGAAATGAATGGTCGTAATTTGTATTTGCGCCTTTTAAAGTGCGACGGTTCCTTTTGGAGCAGTCATAGATTTTCATAGTTTTTCAAAACTCGAAGTTTTTTAGTTTTACGGTCGTCTATTACCGGTCGTGTTTTTCCATAATTGTAGTAGTGAATTAATGAAAATCCCGCCATGGTTAAAAAGAGATAGAGGAAAAAAAAAATCTCCATATATGTGCTCATCTCATCCACATTATCTCCATCATGTCCCACTATGTTCGGAGTGGGGCTGTAAACATCACATCATGTCGGATGGTAATTGTCTCAAACGCCACTTATCTACTACAACAGGTTACCATATAGTGTGTGTGTGTGTCTCATATCATCAACATATGTCATAACATACATCTTCATACATCGCCACCATGAAACGACAAACATCGCCACCATGACACATCATACATCGCCATCATTGCATGGCATACATTGCCACCATGAAATGACATACATCGTCATCAAGTCATTACATACAACACCATCATCACAACATTGTGATATTTGCTTGGCTCGGCCTTGCTATCTTTATATATGAGCTCAGCTCGGTGTTGTGTAGATACAGCTTCACCAAAATGGATTAAGCTGCATCCTCAACTTGTGATACTCGCAAGTGCACGAACCGTTGGTAGTATAGCATATGTAAGTGCGAGGTCGATTCCACAGGGATTGGTGATTGAATGATCCAATTTAGTTTCCCTACACAAAATAGAAACAAAAACAAAGAACATAAAACAAGGAAGAAAGAAATAAGTAACTCAAGCAAATAAGTTCCCAAGTTCAATTTAGATTAATGGATTGATTCTAGCTAAAGTATGATTAAGCCATGGTGTGTGGTCATAACCTTGTGTCGGCCACACCATCTCCAATATGTCTCTCCATGGTTAAGGAGAAGGAATATTATCTCCATATATGTGCTCAGCTCGGCACCCCCTTCACCTTGTCTCGCCATGGTTAAAGAGAAGGAATATTATCTCCATATATGTGCTCGGCTCGGCCAGACACTGGTTTTTCTTGAAAGTCCTCAGCCAAGAAGCTATTCTCGACTGTGAACTTGGGGACTTCTATTGACACCATGTTGACCTCACCTTCCCCCTTAAGTAAATCCCACCAATTAAGGGATAACACTTGCTTGTCATATGTGACATCCCACCAAACAAGGAATAGCTAGCCATGCCCCCTCATATGCCTTCTCAATACCCAAGACCCTAAATTAAGGGGGGGGCATGCAAAGGACCTAGCCATCAATCAACCTTGTCTACTCCAACTTGGACTATAAAAGGGAGCTCACCACCTCCAAGCAAAGGATCAGCTGCTACTTCATGCAAAGGACCTAGCCATCAATCAACCTTATCTACTCCAACTTGGACTATAAAAGGGAGCTCACCACCTCCAAGCAAAGGATCAGCTGCTACTTCCTCACTTCTCCAAGAGTTGTCCAAAGCTCTCCCAAGCATTCTATTTCTCTTCTACTAGAGCTCTCAAGCCTCTCTCCCCATATCTCTCTCATGTACAATGTAATCAACCTTAATCCGATAGGTACAAATTCGCCCGTTAACAAACTTCAACACCAATTTCTTATGTAGTAAATGAGTTTTGGGTGTGTTTCTAAAATGCATTCCATGTGGGGTTTAAAGAAATTATATCAAACATATAAAGCTTTAATTTCTATGTAAACATTTTGTGTACAGAAGTTCCAGTTCTTACAAATTCATTTTGCATATATAGAACTACAAGTTCTATGTAAATCTTTTGTAAATTAATGGACAAAACTTCGGGTTCTTGATAATTTATTTTATATTTATAAAACTATACGTTTTGGCAATCATAAAGATCCAATGAACTTCAGGTTCATATATGAAACATTATGAACTCCACATTAATATTAAAATAAAGAACCATAAATTGTAATGTTCCTTGGTTGTCCATATTAAAATATATTTGAAACTTCAGGTTCAAGTATGCGGATCCAATTAAAATGAATTAATGCTTGTGTGTTGAACTACAAGTTCAAATTAAATATAAGAATAATAAAAACTAAGAACCAAGGAACTTGAAAGTTCCAATTAGAATTTGGTTACAAATTGATTCTATTGTGGAAAACTTGATAAATATATAATTTAAAAAAAACAGTTTGATTCTGAACTTCATATTCAATTAAGATATTATATATGTTATGCCAGAACTGCAAGTTCTTGACAAAGTATGAACTGCGGGTTCATATTAATATTAATCTCAATAAAAATTAGGGAGTTTCACTAAAACACCCAAAATGGGGGTTGAAATTATAAAAAAACCCAACACCCAAAACACTTTATAAACACACAATACACAGAAAAAATTTATGAATTATCTCGTCTATAATAGTGTACAAATTCCAGTCAACATTTGCTTACAAAACAAGTTTGTGTACACTTGTAGGGAGGGTGATATTTTTTTTTATACATATTTATTTTGGCCTGACGTAGGGATGATGATTGATATTAATAAAATCTCTCCCCATAATCTCGAAGTTCCTAAAAAAATGTTTGTTTGAATATTTTCTTTGTTAATAACCAAATAACTGAAAAAAACAAAAAACACAAAAACAAAAACAAAATCCAATAGGATATAGTAGATATATACTATATCCTATTGGCTTGATTTTGCAAAGTCTTTATTAATTTAGAACTAATATATATCTGGCCATATATAACCTAACTTCATTAACGTCACCCTTTGACTGCATAAAAACCATTAGGTGGAGCACTGCTCTCTTAATTAAACTGTTCTAAGATCAGCAAAACACCAATAATAAAACTCTAATGGATAGATCCAAAAGTAATAAGATAAATAATATAATATAATATAATAAGTTTTTTTATAAATACATGTCTAGGATTTGGTTTATTTATAAATATCTATAAAAATTATGAACTTTGGATATATATTAACATATAACTGAAACTTCATGTTCGAGTACGTATATCAAATTTAAAAAGAAT